TTCATTCCCATGTCAGCGAAAATGCGTCGCGCTTGATCCGCCTTCCTTTGAACTTCTGCAGGCGAGTTTGCCGTGAGTATGAGATTGTCGACGTAGAGATTCTCCCGTATTTCTTCGGCGAGTTCTTCGTCTTCGACTGTTGCTCGTAAGTGGTGACGTACTGTAGCTCCTAGAAGGAATGGTGATGTGTTAATCCCAAACGTGACTCGAGTAAAGCGGTACGTGGTGAGATTATCATTATCTACTGGCGCATCCACATTTTTTACCCAGAAAAACCTTGTGGCATCTCGATCGAGCTCATGTAAGCGTATCTGCAAGAAGGCTTTCTCGACGTCGGCAGTTACTGCATAAGGGGCTGTCCGGAATCGTAGAAGCATCGCATAAAGATCGGGTAGTATCAGCGATCCTTGGTGGAGTACATCATTGAGAGACGGCTGGTTTGAGAAATGTGCTGATGCGTCAAAGACAATGCGAAGCTTCGTGGTTTCCTTATGAGGAGTGATGACAGGTTGGTGCGGGATGTAATGCAATACATCCCCTTCCGGTGTTTTATCATTAGGGATTTCTTCAATAATCCCCTGTTCTTTCTGATCTTGTATTGTATTGTCGTACAGCCGTAGTATCTCCGGTTGTTGTCTTAGTCTGTTGAGCTCGTTATGCAGTCTTCTTATTGCTATCGCCTTGTTCGAAGGTAATGGATCGTGACCTTCCTTATAGGGTAATCGAACGTAATACCCGTCGCTGCGCCTTTGAATAGTTTGCTCGAAAAACTCGGAGACTTTCGTGTTGATAGCCTCCTTCTCCGCATCTTTTGTTCCGGTGAATTCGCATATTCCAGCCGAATCCATGGTCCAGTACCTATCCCATCGCTCCAGATCTCCGTCGAAATTGGTCAATGTGTTAACCGTGACTGGTGACGGAGTTACTTCCTGTCGTGTTAGCTTCCTTGCTTTGCACTGCTCCGTGTTACCTCTTTGTTTCCCTGAAAGCAGGTAACCGAGCTTCGAAGGTATGAGGTGCAACCCTGACGGAAGGGTATGCTGAGGACAAGGGGTTAGCAGGAATGTCCATAGTTGATCGCAGCCAAGAAGTATGTCTGGATCCCGAGGTGTGCTGTTGTGCGCTGCAGAAAGTACTATGCCGTTGCGGGAGAGGAAATCCATGTCTTCCTGAGTGAGCTTAGCTGCCTTTCCTGCACCGGTTAGTATCGGCGTTGTGCATAAGCTCAACTCGTGCTTCTGACCGTCTTGGTCCCAGATTCCAACCGTAGCAACTTTGCAGGTCCTGGTTTTGGGCATTTCCTCGCCAAATGTCCGCATTGTTAACGTGCGTGTCAATGAACAATCCAGATTCAACTGTTGCGCTAATCTTTCACTCATGAAGGATTGGTCCGCTCCGGTGTCAAAAAGTATCTCCACTTTTTTCTTCCGGCTGCCACTGGCGTCACCAACCTTCGCGGAACCCGTGAGTAGTAGCACACCTTCCCTGTGTGCCTGCTTATTCCCTGTGCTCTGCACCACTACCGCCTCCTGCGGTAGAACAGGTTCCTCCAGCTGTGCCTTTCCTTTTTTGACGCTTGTAGTCTGAATCGAGTTAACCTGCGCATCCTCTCGCTTAGGTTGTACTCTGGCACGTTGCTGTACGCTGAATGATTTGTTCGGTGGCTGAGGGGAAGGTCCTTTCGAGGGAGCTTTTCTCAAAGGCTGAGCCTGCGCTACGGTAGCATTCTTCTGGTCCTTTGTCCGTTGTGGACACAGCGTATGATGATGCCGTTTTCCTTGACATGCGCGGCATCCCTGACTTGTGCATTCCTTGAGAAAGTGTCCAGGTTTTCCACAATTGAGGCAGAGTTTTCGTTCCAGCATGATATTGCGTCGCTCCGTTATGGTGGCGTGCTGTGTACATGTTGATGACTTGTGACGCTGCGACGCGCAAAACATACATTCGTCGCTTGTGGTGCTTTTCCATAGAAGGCTCTTGGTTCGTACGGGTACTTCGGTCGTTCGTTCGTTTCCTGTGCTACCTTTTGTAAGCATGTCACTGATGCGCTCCTCTGTACTGATCAACTGATCAAGTAACTGAACGGCTTGTTGCATGCTCCATTCAGTTTCGCTGATGTTCTGAGAAAGAAGTGTCGTGAGCACGGCGCGTTGGAGAGAGGCATTGAACTTGGCGAGGATCTTTCGTACGAGATATGAGCCATTTAGGCTCACTTTTTCCTTTTCCAACTGAGATATTGTTGGAATGATGTATTCCAACAGGCGTCGCTGAGCGGAGATCCCCGTGCCTTCTGCTTTTGCGCTCTCCAGGCGTCGTTGCAAAGTATCTATCAACTTCGAAGTATCCCCGTATTTGTTTTGAAGGAACTTTACGGCTTCTTCGTAGTTTTCATCGGTGATAGCATAGCGTCTAATGACCTCTCGTGCTTCCCCTTGGAGTGAAAAAACTAAGTAGTTGAACTTCTGCAGGTTCGTTAAAGGTTGATCGTGAACATTCGCAGAGAAAAGTCGCCAAAAGTTGTGGAACTCCCATACCTTTCCGGAAAACTTCGGGATAGGTATTGCCGGAAGTTTGGGTCTTGCAGGCTGAAGTATCCCCATGTTGTGTTGTCCTGGTGTGAAAATCGCTGTTGCCGCATCATTCGTGCTTGCCTCTGGTGGCTCTTGCGAGATATAAGACGTATTGTTCCCCCTAACCATGTGTCGTTGATGCGCAGATCTCAACTTCGCACTTAATTGGATTGCCAATGTAGTGGCGCGATCAATGACTCCATGTGCTGTATCGATATACTGCATGGCCTGTTTTTCATGCTCTTCGTCGATTGAGTCCGCCATCGCGTCGATAGTGTTCGTGAATGAGCCCAGCGCATTACTCACCAGTTCACTAGTGTCTTGAAGTTGAAACACAAAGGCTTGGATTTGTTCCAAATCTTTTGGGTCCTGAGAGATCGACACATTGGGATCTACTTGGGATTCGAACGACTCTAACAAGTGCGTAAGGCTATTACAGTATCGCGTTAATAATCCTTTCTGTGATCGTACCGAAGCGGGTCCAGCTGAGGACATATTGAGAAGTAAAATCAAGCACTTTCCTCAGCGAAGAAATAAAAAAAAAACGAAGAAGCGTAAGCGAAAGCGTCGCGTAAGTTTTTTTTTTCCGTTTTAAATCGGTTGGCGACAAGGTAAGTGTAAAAAGCGTCGCGTATTGCCAAAATGTCCACAAGTGTTCTGCGACAAGTTGAAAAGCTTCAATGTCCAAGTCGTACCTGTCCGTGCTCAGAATCGGGCCGATGCACCATTTAAGGGACTCGAACAGTTCAACAGTTCGTCGGCCCATGGTCTGGCTTGAGCGCTTATATGTAGAGTGCAGCTGGCGTTTTTCTCCGACATACCAAGGAAGAGCCCAGCTGCATGGTCCTTTTCGACATTCTTCTGATTCCATTGGAGCCTTTTCCGAATCTCAACGACTCGCGCTTGCCGCGATAAGCTGCATAGAGCAGAAATGTGGCGCCTAATGATATAGCCATGTCATCTGCAATATCCAAAATCTCCCTAAAGCAATTGTTCTGACAAGAGAACGATAACGGTGCTATCATTATGATAATTTCATGACAACAACTTCTTCTTTCCGAAAAGTTCAAAATCTGCCTTAGCCTTTCTCACGTAGTAAAGGCGTTTTAGACTTTTTCCGAACAGTACAAGAAGAGGGCCAGCACTGTGGAGCGATTATTCTGAATTCAACTCATGGAGATGCAGAAGTTTACGCGAAATGCACGTAAGCCCACCTTGATTGAGCTCATTCCAGAAGTTATATTGTTGTCTCTAGAAAACTGGAAAATCTTATCCTTTTTTATTATATCAAATCGTGTTTAATAAAGGAAGCGAAGCAAGGTCCACCGTGTTAGACATGCGTGAGCCTGGTTAATGGTGGGGGTGAGTGCCTCGCAGAAGGAAACAAATACTTTTCTGCTTTCTAATAAAAAGTTCACGGCCTTGTTCGAAAAGGTGCCAGAGTCCAAAAAAATCCAAGTGATGTAGGACGAACTGGAGCGTGAGCTTCAGATTCAATATCACCTCTACCTAAGAAGGGTAACTCCAGTGGCAATAGATTATCTTTCCCTTAAGGACAGCAACCAGTGTTCATATTCACAACACAAACCTGACGTCATTGAACAACTCATTTCCGTCGTTGCACACCATTTCTCAGAATGAGGACAATCGTGAGCGATGTTGTTTTGGAGATTCTTGCACGGGCTGTGGAGAGGATGTGTTACCTATCGTCTTTGAAACGTGTGAATTACAGATGCGATTGTCATCTCCTTCAACGAAAACTTGACTTGGAGTGGACAACTTTTCCCTAAATTGGGATGGGTGTTTGTCAAAAATGAATCTCTACAGGTATGTCAATATTCATTACAAGAGATATACCGAACAGGGTCCACGGACCCTCTGATCGAGTCAGCCACTCCATAAGGGCTGTTTGTTCTTTCCCAAACTGGCTACTCAAGAGCGTCATCTATTATACTTTTTCGAGTACCGGGTCTGAGCTACGCTATCTTCAGTGACGCAATAATCGCTGAAGGTAGCGTAGCTAAGTCCAGCTACTCACATACCATTACTTTTCAAGCAAACATCTTGTTTGTTCAGCTTGCTACGATTGCCATCCACGACAACCCAAAGCTTTGTGTACCACCTGATGCTTTGATTAGGTTACAACAGCTTTCTGCAATAGCTACCTCACGAGAAAGCACATTCATTCAGCACTGCCGTAAGTTTAAGTAGTTTCTACAGGATAGGTTCAGGAGCCTAAAGGTTGATTACCAGAGCTTTTAGGTTACTCTTTTATCATAATAAGGCTCTTCGATTGTTTAGACAGACCCAATAATGGAACGTTACACTTCTGTAGTCTAACTAGCCATCCACAGGGGTGACACATTGTAGAAACCGCTTCTTGCTGGAACTCTTTTACTGAATTACGGTAGCAGATACCCATTACAAAGTTATCGCGATTTTGAGCGGACAATGGACTCATGCTGGCGAGTCCCTCTCCGACTGCAGTACTGATGCCGGAAGCAGCGGGGTATAGCGCAGTTGCTGCACCTTCCGTAGAAGGCGGTTGATCGAAGTTGGTTTCTTGACAGTAGAACATGGCTTTTGAGAAATGCGCTTGAAAACCTATCAGAATACTACTGGCTAATCCCGAGGTTATCCTCAATATGGTGATGGTCTACAGGGTGGGCCAAAATTATGATTACACAGACATCACATCCCCGAAAACGAATAGAAAGCTAAAAGAGCAAACAACTTCATAAAAGTGTCTATCACGAATCTCTTATCAAAATAGTACATTGAGACTGGGATCTGTTGCTTTCTGCTTTCACCCAACCCCAAAGACGACGATGGACGGCATTGACGGTGGCACGCAGCTAAGGTCATCGAGTTGATCCCAGCTTTTTGCAAGACATTTTCGCGATTATTTCACCTATTGTTTGGGCTAACGGATGCTCTCATCTCAAAGGCTGACCACATTGAGACATCCATGGGATTTAGGCCAGGGCTCCAGGAGGGTCACTGATCGAAGGTTATGAAGTCAGGGAACCCCTTTTACGGAATTTCTAGACAATTTCTGATCTGCAGTCAGGAGCATCATCTTGACAATATGTCCGGTTTGAATCGCCAAATTGTCCTATTGCGCACAAGGAGATCGAACAGGTCTCCAAATCAACTTTCACCCTTATTTTACAAAAATAATCGGTGCTTTTGCCTCGGCGGTGACGCTCGCAAAGGATATCGCAGAAAGTGAGCAAGCCTAGCGCTGTATCACTTCCATTCCTTTCAGCTTTATGCAAACCTTGTAGCCCTGCTTATTGGGCACCTTTTTCACTGCAGGTCTCTTTCCGCCGGTGAACAGAAATCCCGTACGACAATTTTTTGTATGCGGCGGGGCAGCTTTGGTGAGCCAACATTTCTCTTCTTTCTAGTCTCCTCACTGGGGAAATCACTTTCTGATAGTATAAAGGCCTTGTTGTGCAGATGATGCTTCACGATTTTGCGCAGAAAACTTTATGAGATATCCATTCATTTAGTCATTTCGGGCTCAGAATGAATTTCGCTGCTACGCAGACTTTCGCCTTGCTTCATTAAAACTCCCACTGAATATATAACCGCAGGCCTCTTAGGATTACCTCCCCTATCTGCAATTGTTCCCAACTCTCAACAGTGTCTTATAATCGCATGTACCTCCTGTCTTGCTACGCTGAGTCGTCTGTAGATGCACCGTGCCAAAAGAGCTTGTAAATGCAAAGTGACGACTTATTTACGGGGTAGTTACGCTTATATTATTTTCAAAATCTACCAATAGTTTAGAAAAATCAGAAATGCAATAATGAATCTACCTTGTTGAATAGAAGAAAGCGAACGAATTGCTATGACCTCAGAGAAAATTCGTTATGAGCGTCAGCGCGCGCTGTAATCATAATTTTGGCCCACCCTGTAAAGCCAGTAAATGTTCGTTAGAGAAATGATAACACACATAAATTTATGTTGCAAGACTTTGGCGTCAACCTAATAATCAGAGCATTTCCACAACCCAAGTAAGATGTTCCTTCCGAATTCACCTGACCAGGTTCAAAGAACTCGACGAACAAGTTGAACCTCTGCTCATCAAGTTATCAAGGAATGGGATATACTTCAAACTCATTCTACGTCGATCTTTTTCAGATTGTGATATGAACACCCTGCAGAAGATGGCGAAGGAGTCTGTGGTCACTCGTAAAACTCCTCTGAGTGTAGGAAGATGTGTCGTATTCAATGGGGATTTGACTATAGACAAGTCTGTCCCCGAAAATCTGAAGGTATTCTTTCCTAACTCTTCATCATTGTCGAGGAAAGCTTAACGTTTGTCGGGGGAAACTTCCGTACTGTCTGGTCCTGCTTGAAAATTCACCTCAAAAAGTTACGCAAATTATGGCTCGGGCATGAGAGGCTAGCGACCAGGACGCTAATCGTTTTTTTCGCCCCGTTTTCCTATGGAATGTCTTGCTATTCGATGTGATTTTTTTTTTGAAAAATCGTATTAAGCATGCCATGAGCAATATCCGAACTATACATGGAACGATAACTGTGCAAGACTCGACATGGAAGGAATTTCGATTGCCGGTCCTCGAAGTAATTGAGAATGTATCCAGTGAGTAGGCATGCGAACTCGTTGGACAAGGACCTAGTCCAGGACATTACCCTAGAAACTTGGCTGATGTATTTGTCACGAGCCCCTGTAAAGAGTGGTCTGATTGTGGGGAGCATATCCCAATTTACTACTTTCGAGTAAACTAGTTTAAGCGACATTTCACTAGAAACACGTTTTAATTGGTGGTGGCGGGCGGAGATGACGCAGCGGCAAGTGGCGCACGCTGCACACATTTGCGTGGGTTCGGGACAAGGATCGGTACTCGCTCGGATCAAACTGTTCTTTGGTCTTGAAGGGGTTGGTGAGTTGGTGCCAAACTTGTCTAGGAGAATAAAAGCGCTGACTTGCACATTGGCTGGCCACTGCGAGTCATTGTATAGGCCACATATCAATACGGCACTATGATTCTAAATGAAAGTCGAATGGGAGGCGCATCCTTCGGACGGAATTCATCGCGCCAAAAGACTATACTTGATTCTTCAATCGCGTTATTTATAGGATTGCATAGTTCTACTTGACATACTAAACTATTTGATTATTCTGTTCGATTATTTGTTGATTGATTATTTGATTATTAAGCCCTGCATTAACAACACCTCAGTATTCTGCGCGTTGCTTATCTTTAGATTTCTTGAAGGAGTATCGAAATAATTGAAATCATTGAAGAAGGTTTGCTGCCTTATCCGATAGTTCTAAGCAGTAGTGAGCCTTCAAAGACAGATCACAGTAAAAGAGGATGGGAAGAAAAGTTTAGTGCGTGGCGCATTTCGAAGAGCTTGACCAAAATACCATTTTTATTTTTTCACGTTTTCGAACTATTATAGCTGAATGAAAGGGTGATTTCCAGAGAAGCCAGCTATATTTATCAAGGATAATGCTTATCTCGAGAACGTCAGCATGCCATTTTTGAGGTCTTTGCTGAGTGCTGGAGATCATGTCCACATATACGACAACCCGAGACTTCGTTTATCCGATTTTATGCGAGTGAGCGAATCATCTCTACGAATTTATGAAACGAGCGTTTTTCGAGCACCTACACGACTTTTTGAGCATTTACTTGGGCTGAGAATGAAAAAACAACATGTTTTACCCTTCTATTTCTTCGAAAATGCTCAAAGCGTAGAAGCGCTCGAAAGCGTAAGATACTAGAATCATAGGCCTCGGAAATTTATATTTTTGAGCTCTCGTTCTAGCAGTGTTTCCTACAGGGTGACCCACATGAAATGTGACGCAGAAAACTAGCATCAAAATTATACAAGTCAAACCAAATAGGAAATTATTACTCCTACACAATCATCACAAAATTGTAAGCAACATATCACATCTCGCATGAAGAATGACCATCTTTCGCTTTAATGCAAACATCCAACCTCGTTCGGATGCTTTCAAGAATGCGCGCAATCACTTTCATCCCATGCATCTACAATAGAACTTTCTTTCAGGGGTTCCTAAGACCTGTGTTTGGTGGAGCAGGCTTTTTGCTCCAGAAATGCCCATACAGCAAAATCCAAGGGATTGAGATCGGGGAACTTGAAGGTCAAAACTGCTTCGCCCCAAAAACCCGGAAGCGTGGTTTCACAGCATTGCAGCATCTTCTTTGCGCTGTAGGCTTTTGCCCAATCCTGTGGAAGGTTCAGCTGACGTTCATCGCGTTCCTTTCCGCCCAAGCGATCACCGCTTCCTCCAGCCCAGAAGCCCATTAGTTGACTTTTTATTCCCCGTCACACTTCATGTGGGTCACCCTGTAGTTCTACATCGAATGGCACGTTATCAGGCGGTCGCCCCAGTGATGCGAACTGGTTCCGCTATTCAAGCATTTCCACGGCCTAGAGCCCTTTTCTACCAGGGACAAAAAGATCACGCTAATAGTATAGAAAGAATCTGGGACCAGATCAATGGAGAAAGAATCTAGCACCAAATCAATGATCTTGACCATTATTTCAAGCTACTTTAAATCTTTTGAAGTACCTGTCTCCCAGCCCTCGTTACTCCACGTCTAAGCCGTTTTTCGGTCCGACAGCGGCCCTATTATTAGCAGCAACAAATTCGTTCGAGCAGAAAATTTCAGGACCCATCCTTACCGTCAACTGTGCCTTCAGGCTGCAGGGCGAAAGTGTTGATGCAAAATAGTACGCCGCTATGGAATTAAAAGAGAAATTTGCAAAGCCTTGAAATATGGGATCCTCTCAAGCTAGCCATTTTCTGAGGTTAAGCAAAGTATTGGAGACGACACGGAGTATTGGACGAGATCGTTGACGCTTCGGTGAGCGCTCGCTCTGAGCACATCCGTTTTCAGAAGTATTAGGCGAAATTGGCCTTCAATACCGATTCCGAGCTTTTGCTAAGCTCTGGCTAGATTTTTGCCTGATGCAGCTTTCTCAGAGGCTATAGATTCCCACCGCTAAGAAATCGTCCAACCGTTCACTTTATAAGCTATGCCTCTGGATAAACTTCAGTGAATTTGCCAGGGGAACATCAACCGTGAGGAAGAGGAGTGGTAAGGATGCGGACGTGTTGACAACTGACACCTACCTATAGGGGTGAACTAAGTCTGAGGCTTCTAAAGAAGATGTTCACAGAAGGACTGCTAATTTTCTTATACATTTTCAGGAGACGTTCCAAACGGCTGTACTGGCTGACCCTACAGATCACAGCTCTTCCACCATCCACATAAAGACTTCACGTAAGTGAGCTAGACTCAATTACAATGTAATAACCATATATCCCTCATTAGGTAATAGTATTTCAAATTTCTATTCTCCTACGCAAAGACATGTGAAATGCGCTGAAGGAAACTGTCGAAGACGAGTTATCCCACGAAAGGTCGACTAAAAGGGGTGAAGGCCTAGTTGAGAAGAGGAACCCAGCATTTCGCTCGACTGCCGTGGATTTTCTACTTGACTTGACAAAAACCGCTCTTTCCTTTTGGAAAGTACAGTGTCAGTCTATAGAAACACAGTGACAGTGAAAACATAAAATCTATATTTCGTTGAGACACCGCCGAGGAATTCATTGTAGTTTGAGCGCTGCCGCTTGGGGTCTCTGAAACTTTTGCCCTTGTCTCACATATTGTTTGACCGACCTAGTACATCATTTAGACAGTTCTACATTGACTAAATGCTCTCTCTACTGGTTGAGTTGTAGCGTGTCGGATAAACGCCACTGGAATCTCCAAAGAGCTTCAACATTGTGATTCTATCGATGGAGACATCAATATCAGTGGAGATTCCAATGTTGTTAGGACCAATTTAGAATACCTGTCCTCGGTAAGACAATTTTTCAAATTTAGTGTTAGGGTTGGAGAACCTTTAACTTTCTTGATCCTACAGTAACTCTTAACCTCACCACTGTTTATTTTGCGTTATTGATATGTAGCCTCTAGGTTACAAAATTGTTTGGATGTCTAACTATAAAAGGAACATCACTCACAAGTTTACTATTTCTGAGTCATCTGAAAGAAGTTCACTGCAAAAGCAATCAACGTAAGTTCCATTCTTGCTCTTATTTTCTCTTTTTTTTTCTCATAATTGACTTGAATAGCAATGCAGGCGAAGGTGGTGCAGTGGTAAGTGATGCACTCTATCACAAGCATGACTTGGTGATCGAATCCCAGATCGATATCTGATAAGGCCGAACAGCCTTACATTACACTGAGATCGGGTAATTGGTAATAAACTCGCTTGGAAGAATAGAAATCTTACCTTGTACAGGGTGACCCACATGAAGTGTGACGGGGAATAAAAAATCAACTTATGGGCTTCTGGGCTGGAGGAAGCGGTGATCGCTTGGGCGGAAAGGAACGCGATGAACGTCAGCTGAACCTTCCACAGGATTGGGAAAAAGCCTACAGCGCAAAGAAGATGCTGCAATGTTGTGAAACCACGCTTCCGGGTTTTTGGGGCGAAGCAGTTTTGACCTTCAATTTCCCCGATCTCAATCCCTTGGATTTTGCTGTATTGACATTTCTGGAGCAAAAAGCCTGCTCCACCAAACACAGGTCATAGGAACCCCTGAAAGAAAGTTCTATTGTAGATGCATGGGATGAAAGTGATTGCGCGCATTCTTGAAAGCATCCGAACGAGGTTGGATGTTTGCATTAAAGCGAAAGATGGTCATTCTTCATGCGAGATGTGATATGTTGCTTACAATTTTGTTATGATTGTGTAGGAGTAATAATTTCCTATTTGGTTTGACTTGTATAATTTTGATGCTAGTTTTCTGCGTCACATTTCATGTGGGTCACCCTGTACATCGGTTAGCCACCACAGTGTAAATATGTAAACCGCATATGCTTTTGAATGGCCACTACGACCCTGAATGAAAATCGAATATGGGAGCGCTTTCCACAAATAGGTTTAATTGATGTCAAAAGCTTTGTTGGGTAGCAGATGCAAGCAGCGGGATAGATGGGTGGGATTGACATCCAGCACTTGGAAGTCTTGCACTTATTTGAATAAATAGGCCAAAATGCGGGTGAGAACTTTTATTAAATAAAGCACGCGTAGTTTGGACTTGACAATGTTGACCAATACCCCTCATGTAGAGGGCAGTAACTACAAAAAGACAAAGTCTTAGTTTGTTCATCAAATCCTTCAGTGGGATGCGCCCACACATTCGACTTCCTTTCTGAATCGTAGTGGCGTATTGTTTGCGTATATGCCTATACAATGACTTGCGGTGACCAGCCGATGTACAAGTGAGTGCTTTTATCCTCCCAGACGAGTCTGGTACTAATTAACCGACCCCGGAGGTATGGAAGGCTTGGTTGGTCTAGGCGGATATCGATCCGCAATTAGAACTCGTGTGAATTTACCATGCGCTTTTTGCCACTTCACATGCGAACCTTTCTTTACGATCCTAAAACTTTGCCTCTGGACAACACATTAGTATAGACTTAGAAAAAGATGTAACCTTCAAAATATCCGCTCTCATGATGAAGAAGTCTACGATGGCATTAGGTTCACAGATTGGCTGCTTTCATAGTCCGCCGGCGTGCCGGCAGTGCTAGCGGGGAGGAGGGAGGCAGACAGATAGGCAAACAGTCCACGCCCCTTCGAGGGGTTGAAAACAAACAACCTTCGAAGGGGCGTGGACTGTTTGCCTTACACTGTCTGGCTCCCTCCTCCCCCCTAGCACTGCCCCCGCCGGCACGCGCGCCGGCACGCCGGCCGGCAGACTATGAAAGCAGCCATTCCCGTAGGTAGATGCTTCGGAATCTATCTTGACTCAATCTGTACACTAATGAAAAACAATAGCAGATCCATAAACCCACAGCAGGACTATAAATCATCATGTTTTGGAAAAATGGTAGGGAACAATATCCTCGATCTAGACATGGACGCTGATGGCCAAATACGAAAATTCAGCGCCAATTCTTATCGCACGAAATCCTATCACATCTATAGAGTTGGCAGTGCATATAGTTCGTTCGAGTTATAACCAACCTGTAGTGATCCGTGTGAGTCTTTATAATAGAATTTCATACTATCCAACGAGTTCTGCAACGAATATGTAGTCTGGAATGAATATACCTAGACCACTCGAAAGAACATTTTCAGAACAACAAGTTCCTTTGCGAAAAATTCATCGAAAAGTGGCAAAAGCTCTTGTTGACGATGAGGAAGATTAATAATGGCAATGGATCTATCATTGAGCACTCCAATAATGGTTCACATTGTGGTAAGCATTTTGTTTCACTGTGTCAACATCTACAAGTCTCCGATGATGCTTTTTGTCTTTTCAGGTTCCAGAAGCTCACAAAGTAACACTACTTTCTGGAATTACTGGTTTCCGATTTCAATTCGGATCATATTTTCTATTCAGGTTCTTTGTTGCTGATATTAACAATGCTAGCTTGTACCATGATGTTCGCTATTATGGTGTTGATGTACGTTTTCCAAGAATTGACTTAATTATTCAAGAGGAAGTAGAGGTATGGGGTGTGGAAATGTATGTGAAATGCTTCATGGTGATTCCGGTTATTCAAAGTCCCATTCCGTTTTACCTCATCTAATGCCTTGAAAAAGTTCCCGGATAAGTAATACGACCTTTAAGTTGCCAAAAACCTTGCCAAAACCTAAAAGGAAGCTAACATAAAATAACTGAAGAGACTTGCATTTCTTCTTCTTCTCTCTAATAATATCGAGCCGTCGCAGAGTTCTCTGCTCTTGTTGGTGGCTGTGCTACTGCAAAGTCGTACTTGATCACGTCCCACCATCTCTTCTTTGGAGCTTGCCGTGGTCGGATTCCCTCATCTTCGAACTCTGTTGCTTCCTGTGACTTGGACCATACGATTGCAAGTGGTCCTCTCTCGATGATTTCTATTGTCAGGCCGCATACACGATCCGTGGCTCATAGATTTTTGATTTTATACCTGTTGTCGTGAGCATGCAGAGATACGACGATAGTGGGGCTCTATGAGAAATACAGATTATTTTTATCTGGGATTCGAGACCTTATTTTTGTCTCGAAGCAGCGGAACTTGTTCTTCTCCAAGTTAATCCGGAACCCACTCTCCGATAGCGCCTTCTGCCATTCCTGCAGCTAGTTTTGGCACTCCTCTCTACGTACTCTCCTCTATTAAGGCGATGTCGTCAGCGCAGAGGATGACTTTTGGTAGTCCAGCCACAGCTCCATTTTTAATGAGATCTACGCTTGGCAGGTGGAGGGACGGATCAAGGGCTGATTCTTTGTGGACTCCGGCTCCATGACTGCAGGTGCTTTTTTTCAGATTATGAGAGGTACGTATAGACCCCTCTTAGACCCCCGTCTTAGACCTAATGTACATTTATCTCACAAGGGAAATTAGGTGTTGAGGAAAGCCACGCTCAAGAAGTCTAGAGGTGTATTGGGTGTGTCCTCCTCAGTTCTCCATCACCCTACCAGCTATGGAGATGGCATTCAGTATTTTAGACTGTTCTCTTTAGATCGAAACAAGCTGCTCAAACAGCTACTTTACCCTTTTACTAGAACATGGAGTCAATACTACTGCATCTCCACACATCAAAATTCACCCTCAGCATTTCTAGCGTTCAGAAATTGAGCGGGATACATATCTCCGCGCTTTCCGTGTTCAATTGGTATCTCAACCAACTAGGCCTCCTCTAACCTTCGTCTCCTTTGTCTAGGGTGACGGGACCTCGTCACCTATATTCTGCAGCTGTTCTCACAGTTTGATTCTTCGTTTAAAGGCACAGTTCACGATAAAAATGATTCTAGAGATTTCTCTGTAGTATGAATTTTAGACTCCTCCTCATACCATACCTGTCCTTATAAGGTCGAAAAATGTTTCGGATAGGGTACAATGAAGGGCCAGAGTTTTATCGTGTGAGTGCCACATCCATAGTGGACGAGTTTCAACTGCATGAATTCGAGACTCCCCTATACCATACGTCCACTATGGGTATGGCACTCACAAGATAAAACTCTGGCTCTTTATTGTACCCTATCCGGAACGTTTTTCGACCCTGCAAGGACAGATATGGTATAAGGGGGAGTATCGTGTATGTGTCACATCCATAGTGGACGAGTTTCAACTGCATTGTAGAGGTTGCACTATCTCAAGGTACTCCTATGTAAAAAGCTCAAACAACTTGTCATAACCCATGGTGATAGCGAGTGGTTGTTTCGGACAATTTCTACTTGATGTAGTCATCCCATTGCGCGATGGGAGAAATTGATAAAATCCGCGGGTGTGGTGCGTTAGGAACGAAACGGGAAATGGGAGCAAGTTAAATCGAGAGACGGGCGTTAGGAACGATTTTGGGTAATCGATTTGCCGCACGCGGCTGTCGCGGACCACTCATTCGCTGTTATTACAGCTCTAGCGTTCTTCATACAGCTCAATCGATATGCGATCATTATTTTATGCATAATTCTACTATTAGCGCTTTTGTTCTTGTATTTCTTACCTACCTGCATCCTGCTACATTCCTTCGCGCGCGACGCCCCTCTCACCGCGATGCGACCGTTTCGTTCCTAACGCACCACACCCGCGGATTTTATCAATTTCTTCAACGCAGATGTATTTCTCTACGTCAACACTTCCGCTTTTCGGCCTAAAAAGGGTACTTCAAAATTATCGTGAACTGTGCCTTTAGTAATGTATAGAAGCACTCTTTGCACAGGAATCTACCATCTGGCTTTCTCAATATTGCACCCACAAATGCTGTTCTCTATGACTATCCTCACTAAGATGCCTTGAAAAACACATTGCCAAGTTCGGCCAGCCGTAGAAAAAATTCTTCTTTTTTACCTATCATGTACACATTCAAAATGCCACTATGTTTATGATAGAAGACGAATGCGGGGTGCATCATTCCTTCATGTCAATCTGTCGTTATAATCTTGTACGATCCTTTTATACAGCTCCTTTGAAGCTACCTTTTTCTTGCATCCGCCAATTTTTGTGCGCTCTTCGCCACATTGGCACTATTCTGCCCAATGACTTCCATTAATCTACTCGACTAGGTATCTCTAATTTCTGTGAACTGTGCCTTGAAAGCCCGACGTTGACAGTAGCCAGTTTTCCGAGGATTTTCCGAGGAAAAAAATCAAATAATTTTGGCTATTGCATTGTAGTATGAATATGTGTATTTTGAAGATGAAGTCAGGGGGTGTTTTTCGATTAAGTATGCTTTTAATGAATCGACTCTATTGAGAAAATGCAAAGCTGGTTAGGACTTTTGTAAAACTCAGACCCCGCCGACTCCTTATACTTAAGTGTTACAGTTCCATCCATACGTATACAGAACTCAGAGCCCTCGAAAAATTAGAAAAAAATGAAAGACACTATCTAGAAAGTAACATCGATGCTTGTTGCAGGACACGAAGGTACTACTGACTAGTTTCGCAAAACTGTAGCACGGTAGGATCTGCAGTATTCGATTTATTTCTACCTTCGAGTTTTATTGTGTTTCCTAGAATCACAGGGTACGCAAAGATTTTCGGTTCGTCCTTGAAAGGTCCAAGCCAGTGCTAAGCACCCAAGCTAGTTTATCCCACCAACTTCGTACTGACTTTCATACACCTTTTTTTCTATGACTTCAGACTTGTCGGGACGAAATTTCCTTTTATGATCATAACTTTCACAGCCTCTAAGTTCTAATTTTCCATATTTCAGCATTTTTCCATCCAAGGCACGAAGTCCATCTATGCCACTTTGATCACAACTTGACATTCTCAAAAACTCTGCATTATGATTTTAATAAAATGTTCTTCATAAGCTCTGCTACATTTGCGCATTTTGAGACGTTAGCAACCACTTTCAAAGACTTTAAAAGACTAGCTGAACCACTAAGCATGCCTTATAGGATGCGTTTCCTAAATCCATAATGTGAAAGGCAGTGAAGTCCAAAGTAATTGATAAATCGATTTTTTTTGCAAAAAAGAGAAATAGAATTATAAGTGAAATTACAAACGTTCCCTATCTGATAATCAAAAAATCTAGTTTAAGTTAACTTCTGCTTGCGTATAAGGAGAGTCAGGATGAACGTCAAGTGAAAGTTAGAGCTTGAATCCAACTTCTACTTCCGAAGTACTACAACGCTTTCAAACTCCGAGGACTATGGCGTAGCCGGAATGTAGGCGAAATAAATGTTTCATCAGTGGAACCTTATTCAGCACAGAAGCACTGAATGCGATACTGATAAAGCAACAAATGACTAAGTTTCGACAAAGACAAGCATGGAGGTTACCCTCAAGAAGCTCCGCCCACAGGGGGCGTGTCGTGCAAAGAGCAAGGGGGGGGGGGTTGGACAGCTCACTGTCAGACCTAAAAATTCCTCGTAACTATCTGGTATACCAGAAAATTGCAACTAAGGCAGTTCATAAACAACTAAGGCCTCTCCAATGAATAGAACCATCGCACGTCCACAAATAAAAGCTTGTTCCTGAACGCACCAAAGAACGATTTGCAGCTACATATATACGAGCATCAACAAACAACTTAATCTCACTGCATTTATTTCTCCCTACCTTTACATATAAACATCCGACCCTAACACAAATCAACTGCGTCAGTACATTAAACTACATCACGCGCATGTATCAGATCTCTTAAAAAGATTTGCGTTATTGAGATATATGACTTAAAAAAGAAAAAGAAAAAAATCAGAATCCAATTGCTGTACTCGAACTGGAGAAACATGACCAACGAGAAAGTTCACCATCTTACTAAAAAAAACTATACATATATGTATAATATTTACATTTTTACACAAATGGAGAAGAAAAAGCCTGCACAATTGATACATTATGGAATCTATTTTGCTCAAGTGCATTGAGCACGAGAAGAGAAATGTCTTCCGAGATGCTGGTGGAGAGACTAGTTTTCCACTAGAGCATACCTAATCATACGAATTCTGAAAAAATACGAAAGGAGCTCCGTCAAATACTTGGTGAAAAATATAATAAATCAAAAAACTAGTAGAGGCAAAATATGCAGAGCCTAAGAAAAACGACACAACTAAAATCTCATTAACTACAACATAACTCGAGCAGTTGGAAAAGCATGAGAGTCATAGCAAGAATTCACCGGTAAGCTTTCATACTACTATAGTTTGGCACTTCACAAAATTAACAAATCTAATATTTAGTCTTCAATAACATCCATAACTTCGCCCATTCCTTTTGTTTTTCCTTGGCGGAATATTAATGGTGTGCCAGCACGTATATATTCTGGACCACTCATGAGCTGGAACATGACAGTCGCCCACTTTCCTTGTTCCAAAGAAGGTCCGTCAATGTCTACTATTGCAGCTGTCTGACGAACTGATCCAATATAGACTGAAAAAATGAGGTTACAGAGAGAAAGTTCGACATTGAACCCTCAAAGGGCAAATTAATGATACCATATAATATACCTGTAGCTTGGAAACCAATGCAAAGATGACGCGTAGAATGCGATAACAGGAATAACGAAGCTGTGAAACGACGGCAGCAGGAAGGCTCAGCTGATGCAGAAATCAACACCATCCCCTTAAAACGGAGAGAAATGACTTATTTCTGATTCTGCCTCTCTTGCCAAAAGAAGCGATTGTATGGGCTCTTTGTGGGCTCTTTCAGCAGTACAATAGCAATCGTTATATGTTGATATGGGCTCGCACTTAACATACAGGGAACCAGAAGTGGGAAATTTCGCTTAGCAGAGTTGGCGACGAGAAGAGGACCAAAGTTAAGTGAAGCACTACAGCAAGGATGTAATGTTAGTCAAAAAATTGCTGGACAGATCCCAACAGCACTTGCTCTATAATTTTCTACTTTGTGAGTTACCAGGCGGCTACGCACGCTATTGCGTGCGCTGGGGGCTGTAGCCATAAAGGACGGAGCCACATAAGCTTCTCATTTTCATTATAAACCTTTGTTATTTGAGTCTTTTCCCTAACACTTCTGTAGCTTCCATCATTCTTTATGGGGTTAAGTGTGGCCATGAAGAATACTCTGATGTGTCTAAATTAAATACATCTGCAGTCCATGTAGTCGAAGAAACTGTGTACTTTGGGCTGTGTGTGACCATGAACAACAACTTTGAAACGTGCCGACTTCGCCCACTTCGGGTTTTGATCACACTTGGTGCCCATCCCGCTCACCTATGGGATTTGACCACATTTGTTCTTTTACACCTTCACACCTTTTTGCCGCATCCCAGAACGCCTCTGAGCAAAGTTATAAATTTTTGATCTAAGACACGCCCACTTCAGTGCCAACCCCGCCCACCTCGGCGATTCGACCACATTTGTTCTTTTACACCTCAACACCTTTTTGCCGCATCCAGAATGTTCCTCAGCTATGTTACAATTTTTGATCTAAGCCCCGCTCACTTTAGTGCCAATTCCCGCCTGATTTCGTGCCCACCCCGCCCACCTATAGGATTTGACCACAATTATTCTTTTACACCTTAACACCTTTTTGCCGCATCCCAGAACACCTCTGAGCAAAGTTATAAATTTTTGATCTAAGCTCCGCCCACTTTAGTGCCCACCCCGCCCACCACGGGGATTCGGCATCATTTGTTCTTTTACACCTTAACACCTTTTTGCCGCAGTCTAGAACGTTTCCAAGCAAAGTTTCGTTCATTTTTGAAAAGTGTCTTTCGTCTCAACGCACGCCCCGCCCGCCGTGGGCGGGGCTTCGCTAAGCTTATGCACGCCCAGCACGCATAAGGTCGTGCCCACTCCTTTTACTTTTTTCCTGGCCTCCGCGCCTCAATTGAATCGAGCTATGAATACTATGAAAAGTACCGCCCATTGGAGGCAGCTCCGCCCACAGTACGTGGGTCTCCTCCGTCGAGTTCTTGACCCAATCCTCACCTCTGAACATTTTTTCCGGCGTCTGGACCTTTTTCGAAGCCAAAATAAGACGTTTGGCTATTCATACCGCCCATTCCGGCACTTGCCCCGCCCCCTGTGGGCGGAGCTCCGTAGAGCTCGTATGTGCTCTATTAATTTTGTCTTGGGCTCCACCCATCCCGAACTTGCCCCGACCTCTAAAGTTGTTTGTCATACATACATACATACATACATACATACATACATACATACATGCATACATACATACAAACAGACACACCAAACTTGTGGGAGAGATGATGAGTGCATGGCGAGTTCATCCGTTAAGCTGTTCCACAGAGATTCCAGGAGGAAATGGGGTCGGTGGGACATTTTAGCACCCTTAGATTGTGATGGAAGACCTCAAAAATCGACCTAATGGGGGATCTTTTTTCAACCTAATTTTGTTCTTTTACTTTTTAATACCTTTTTGCCGCATCCCAGAACGTTTCTGAGTAGAGTTATAAATTTTTGATCTAAGCTCCGCCCACTTTGGTGCCAACCCCGCCAACTACTGGGATTTGACCACATTTCTTCTTTTACACCTTAACACCTTTTTGCCGCATCCCAGAACATTTCTGAGTAGATTTATAAATTTTTGATCTAAGCCACGCCCACTTTGGTGCCAACTCCGCCCACTTCTGGGATTTGACCACATTTGTTCTTTTACACTTTAATACCTTTTTGCCGCATCCCAGAACGTTTCCTAACGAAGTTACATCATTTTTGAAAAGTAGCTTTCACCTTAACGCACGCACCGCCCACCGTGGGCGGGGCTTCGCTAAGCTTACGCATGCCCAGCACGCAGAAGGCCTTGCTCACTCTTTTTATTTTTTTTCCTGGCCTCTGCGTCTTAATTGAATCGAGTTATAAACACATCTAAAAAGTACCGCCCATTTTGAGAAAGCTCCGCCCACAAAGCGTGGGTCTCCACCGGCTGGTTTCTTGACCCAATCCCACCTTCGAACATTTTCCCCGGTGTCTGGACTTTTTCGAAGCAAAATAAGATGTTTGACTGTTGGCACAGCCCATTCCGGCACTTGCCTCGCCCCCTGTGGGCGGAGTTCCGCAGAGCTCGTATGTTCTCTATTAATTTTGTCTTGGGCTCCACCCATCCCGAACTTGTCCCGACCTCTAAAGATGATTTAGGTAAAACCGGATTGTGTGACATACAAACAAACAAACAAACATACATACATATATAGATACATACATACAGACAGACACACCAAACTTGTGGATTATATATAGTAAGGATAGTGGGCGAGTGACCCTGCATATAAGCACTCGCATTACATAAATAGAATGGTAGACTAAAAAAAAATGAAAATATCGGAGTGACCTAGGAAAAAGTTACCTAGTCTGAACTTTTGGATAGCCTACTTAGCGCTTAACTGTGACTGATGGCAGGTCGATCGAAAATAGCATTAGAGTTTGAATGCAAAAACTTGCATGCGAAATATTCGACCCAGCTGATAAAAAAAAGTAAGAAACGAACCCTTCTCAATGGCTGCGAAGTTTTGGAACGTCGATTCAAAGCAATGCTGACAGCTTCACCAGGCAATACCGCTTGAACAGGCTGGCGACTTCGTCTGATCGAACCAATGAAAGCCTGAACAGTGTAATAATTCAAAAATCATTTGCTTGAAGTCTTTTCCTAACACTAAAGCCATCGGAATGAAAAATATGTACACATATACTACTGTTTGAAAAGAAATCACTCTCGGCTTTTCAACCTTAACCCCTTAAAACTTTGTTTTCGGCTGATTTTTCGAGAGCACTTACTCGATTTGCAAATTTGTTTGTTTTCCATGTGAGGTCCCTGAGTTTTTATGTAAAGGTAGAGCTGCTTCCTGATTCTTTCCTCTACAATAATCCGCTTCCATTGATGGGACAAACCTCTGAATCTCGCTCCGATCGAATAGCAGGTTTCCGCTATTGCCGCAGGCAGTAAGCAGGGAATGACGCATGAACAACTTCCAAGGCAGTTTGCTGTGTCAAGGTCCAAGATTACAAATGGTTACCACTCCGACGGACTACTAGAAGTTCATCCGTGCATCCAACCAATATCCTAGACGAATTTCCTCCGACATAATGGCCGAAATAACTATGACGATGACGCAGCCACCACCTCAAAGCACCATCAACAGGCATATGAGGAACGCTGAATTACGTGGAAGAAAAGCTGACATAAAGTCTTCTGTTTTGCTAAAGAACAGAAGACCGATGGGCGCGCAAGCACCGCCATTGGGCCCTCGTTCAATGATGCTCCTGAAGCAACGAGACAAAGTTTGTTCTGTTTGATAAAAATGGGATTTCGTTCGCAAGCTACTTATTACTCATTAAGTTTGACCGCAAGTACCAAATGCTTACTGTTAAGCACGTGGCAGCTCAGTGTTAGTTTGAGGATGGTTTTAAAGTCAATGCATGGAACTCTTCACCGTATTGCCACCAATAGGGACCAGCACTTCTACGTAGACATATTAAAAAGCGCATGGTGCCTTCAAAACATTCAAAATGTGGTAGAGAAATCACTTTTCGTATGATAGCGACACACAGATCTATACCGGTGTACGAGTGATTGACTCGTCACAAAATTCGATGCCCCAACTAGCTCAGTCAGTCCTTGACATGAATATCATCAAACACCTGTGGCAAGAGCTCAGATGGGGTAGTTTAGGAAGCCATAAATACAGCCTAGACATGCCTAGTTAGGAGAAGAATAGAAGAAAATTGACCTGTGTGTGGGACTGTTAAGTTGGTTCAATCAGTGCCTTGCCGATGCCTATCTGTCATTGAAGCCCGCAACTTGGCTATGAAGTATAGCAGTAGGAGACAGTCGCGCTTTCATTTCGCGATCATAGGGTAAGATTTAGGCATTTTGATGAAGCGTTAAAATTGATACACCATTCAAGCAAATAGAAAGAGGTTTCGTCAGTTTGGTCACTACTACTAATGTTAGCATATTGAAAAAGTAGGTGAAACTATCGAGTTCGAGAAGAGTTAGGGCAAAAAAGATCCGATATATGTGATTTCTTTTTGAACAATACTGTATATATAGCTAGAAAAATGGACAATACTGTATATATAGCTAGAAAAATGGATTGTATTTAAGAAGCCTCACCCTTTCGAAACTTCCATCCTTATACGGCCCAACAAGAACGGCATCACCTTCCTGGAGGCGCCCAGAAGAGAGCATACCTCCAACAACGGTTCCAACCTGAAATCAGCTTTTCAGTCAACGCTGCAACACTGATCATCGGAACAGTCGAAACGGAACGGAAGCATTCTACTTCTTCAAGACAAAGAAACCAACATGTGGAACGTTGAACATCTCTTCGATGGTGAAGAGAGGTGGTTGCGAGACCAACTGAAGACGAGATCCTGTAGAACCCGTTGGGGGTAGCACATTGAGGAAACAACGAATAAGTCCGAGGCCAGCACCACTAACACATGAGATGCAGAAAATTGGTACTTTACCAAAAGAGCATAGATTTGAAGCAGCCCTACAAAGTGAAAACGTCAAATATTACAGACAAATATAACTCTCTACATTGGTACGCAAACGCACTTCACAGCATCTCTTTTCCGTTTAACTCGCTTTGTGCAAGCCACCATACCAGCACGCGAAAGTAACGATGTCACGGACTTGATTACTCTGAAATGCTCTGTTCGTGTGTAGAGGTATCTAAAGAGGTCGAGAAACACTGAAAAGCAACAAAACGTACCTGTCCAATTGCTCTTTCTCTACGAGATCCCATTTCGTTATAATTACGAAAATGGGAATGTTGAGAGCAGCAGCAAGGCCAAGATGTTCTTTTGTGGTAGCAGTCGGCCCTGTTTCAGCAGACACTAACCTGAGAAAAACAATCTCAACCTACATGCGCGTTGCGAATACTGCAAGCATTACACAGATCAGAGAAGATAAAAGACCTACAGGCAAGCGAAGTGAGGCTTGTAGCCGGACAATCCATGTATAGTGGTTTTCAAATACTTTGAATCTCCAGCCAGATCGATTAACGTAACTATTTTTTTAGACCGCTCCACTAGCTCTTCAAGGCTATTTTGGGCATAATTAACAAGCTGAAAAAATAAAGATCATTGGAAATTTGTACTAATACTATGAATTGCACAAACCTTTCCCCGTGAGTCGAACCCGATTACATCCAGACATACCGAGCTAGTTTTTCCACTGCGAACTTCGTGTGGAAACCTGGAACAATAACGCTTCCGAGAAGGGTTCAGAACTAAATTTACTATCCTGACTTTACTGCCTTCACCATTCCATCCCCCTTCTGCAAGCCAGACTGTAAAATATGGTAAATGATGACACAATAGGAATTCGAAGAAAAGTTAGGCACTTCATTACAATGAAGGAGAGCGGTTGTGGTTGTTTGAGTGGAAAAGAGATAATAGCAAAGTGATAATAAATTTTACAACAGAACTAACCTGAAAAGATTGAGCCTCGTTTTCCCATTGCCGTCATCGAGACAACCTTGAGTCATCACACCACAGAAGGTAGATTTCCCGACATCTGCGCCACCGAGTACAGCCAACCTTAAGGAATGGAGCATGGAAGCAAGTGGACTTCAGGGTGGTCAAAGAAGCGGTTACAAATATGTCAGCAAATAAAACAGATATTGCTGAAACATCGCATCTATGGTGAGTGAACACAAACTGTTACCCATTTTCCAAGAATGGAAAACCAGTGACAAAGACAAGATCCGTTTTTGGATGTCTCAATAGAAGGACACCCATTTTTGTGCCCGATAGCAGAAAAATAAATGACCACGCTGCTTTTCAAAAAAATTGGCGAGTCCAGAGAAATTTTTTCCCCTTCTGATCAATTAGAGGCAATTAATGGTAAATTTTGGTTAACGCAGACATTAGTAACTATTCACTATTCCATTTTTCTACCAGGAAAAAGGATCTTGGGCTATTAAGCTTCCGGAAGATTGGAAGATTTCAGTAGTAGCCGAGTTTTAGCCATTGTGGTACCACTTTGATTTGAACAGAAAACTGATCTGTCGTGATTGTGCAGCCTCTCGAGCTCATTCTACTCATAATCAAAACATTGCACTCCCAACTTTCAGACTCGGACATATGAAGGAGCGACTACTCCTTCACCACTGCTTAACTTATATTTAGGTAGCCCTACCTCAATTCGATGAACTGCTGACTCTCCGGGACTTTACGTACAAGAACTTCGACCACTCTGCGACGTGAACAGCAGCCTCGAGGAGTCACATCCTTCTCTGTTAGCTAGAAAGAATGATTATTAAACTACACATGGCATATCAAAAGAAAATTTTTGGATACGCTGTAATAACGTTTCTGTAAACTTACGATAACCATGCTAGCATCGAGAGCATTTGCCATAGCTTTTAGAGTAATAAGCGATGCTTCCATTTCTACGTCCGATAGCCCGCTCATTTTTCCACCATCCTCAACACCAACCTAAACAGATGTTTTTCAAATATAAATAGGTATCAGGAAAAGAAAACTTGTAAGTAAGAACAAACAAGAATTAGTGACCACCCTTTTTGACCCTTACCTCATAAACTGCTTCGCCTTGTCCTTCTCTGAGCCGCCATTTCATTTGTGTTATCAAGTGCTGCAGACGTGACGACGATGGGTTAACAAGTTTCACCTATCAATGCAGTCCTTCAGCAAAGGCATACGACGAAATTGAGGAAATCACCTTGTATTCTATGTTGCCAAGTTCCATTTCGGGAGGTAAGCAATTCTCAGCCTCCGAGACCCGTTTGTCAGTATGCAGCAAAGCGCAAAAATCATCAGTAGATTTTCTGCAATAAAAATGGAGGGCAGTAGGAACTCAAAATCATATCACCGATTCTTTCACATTCATGAATCTTGATGGTCTTCATAACCCTTCAGCTTTTCGCACTTCTTAGATACTGGTCTGACACACCACCTTCAAAGCTGGTATCCGGAGCAGCCATTCCTCCTAGCCGCTTGCAGTGTTTGGCCGGAGCACTGCCCTTCCTCTCCTGGGTGATCCGCCGATCCCCCCCCCCCCCCCCCCCCCCCCCCCCCCACTACTTCCCCCGTTCCCACCGTTTTTAGACTTTCATTGTGGCCATTGTATTTTGTAACGCTGTATTCCCTACTTATTTACTGTAATAAGTACTATATATGCTCCACTATTGTTAATTTGACGCCACCTTAGCACTTGCCTTTTTGCTTGTACATCCTCTGTGCAATAGTTAAATAAATAAATAAATACCTTGTGAAGATGCTGTGTCAGACTAGTATCGAAGAAGTGAGGTGTACGCGCGATCGGAATGAGTTTTTCTCACAACTTGCGTCCTGAATGTATACGTGCCTTTTCACAGTTAGTAGACGACATGCAGCCACAGAAACCCACCACCATCACCACAACCCAAAAGAAGTTGCCTTACATATCTTACACGCTAATACCTCCGACCAAGGAGATCCTCATTTAGTTATTTGACAGTAGGCAATAGGTTGAAGACTGAGTGAGGAACAGATCACATTGTTGTCCAGTAACTCCGGTAATTGATGTGTGTAATAAAGCAGACATGAATCCCAAATATAAGAGGTAAGCAATCAAATCAGAGGTTGGGCAATGGCTGAACGGGTTGGCTACCGATTTCTGATCTTCCATTGAAACAAAAAACAACTAAGAGTAATTCCAACCTCTTATACTCCACTATTCGACTAAGACTTAATAGCACTTACAATTTTTGAGTGCTAAATTATGTGATTCGAGCAAAGATCAATCAAAAATTCAGCGCAAACCCGAGTTGACGTTCAACCCTATTCAACAGCTGACGCCGCACAATGTTGACATACTACGTGAGACACTTGAAGATGAGGGTACCTCTAGCCACTTTCAAAGTAAGATACAGAGTAAAGGGTTCAGCATTCGGGAAGATATTTGAGAGAATAGTTACCGATATGGTACAGGCAGTAGACTCGATTTCCAAAAACAAATCCCCTTTCAAAGTTCTTTATGTTAAATTGCCTCTATGGTATGGTTGCTGCTATGTTGGAACTGCAGAGTTGCGCAGGGCGTGATACAAAAATTTTCCAAGGAAAAGGAGCTAAAAAGGCCAAGAATAGCACAACATAGCACGAGGTGTCTCATCTCATAGTAAATGGAAAATCCTGGCTAACTACAGGGCCAAGAAATTTACGAGACTAAACTTTTATTTTTTTCTTCTAGACTTCTCTCATCTGACTTTGTTGGGTTTCTCTTTTTCAAGGAAAGCTAACTATTGTTTTATCGTTCTGAGTGACATTTGTGAAACTAAGAGCCGTTGGTCGTGCCGGAACAAAAGCAATAATGCGGTGTACGCTGACTTTAGAAAAACCTAAACTTGTGCAAGACATATTTCCCACTTCGACTCCCCTAACCAGTGCCGCTTCGTCATGGTGATCATGGAGAAACTTTTGAGAAAAAATCGTATCACTATGACAAATGACGATGTAAGAAATGGCACTCACGAAGTTTGAAAAGCACAAACCTCTTATTAGTATTGAAAACATGGTGCGCTTGTTCCTCACAGAATTGTGATATCATAAAATCCATGAAGGATACAACTGCAGACTAATATTGAGCGATTACGAATAGTAGAAGAAAATATTGGGAGAAATGCGTTAATCACGTAACCGCTCGATCATTCGAAGCGGGTTCTGAAAAGCTTGTTTTCATCAAATAGGACAAGAACAACTAGAAAAACGAAATACAAGAGCGGATTATAACATCAGCTTATGTAATCAGCAAACGAAATAGATTATCACGAAGTAGTAACAAACCAACTTATTAGTGAAGCAAAGTGCGAATGAATTGAACGATCGACTTCCAATTTACCTTCTATACTTATTTTCAAATGACATAATCCTACTCGATATAATCCGCGATATGTATGTCTGATAGTGTAAGCGTATGTTGGACAAGAAAATCATAAATTCCTTTGAACAGAAGACACTGATAGATGGTAGCACGAATTATCATGATTGATAGCGACCGTTAAGGAATCATAGAAAGCAAGAGCACTGGGTTTCTTCCGGCCTTCGCCCTTACAGTGGCACTATGGCGTGTGATTCAGGGTCTGATGGGATCATGGACGGTTGACAGAAAATGATGGCAGATAGAGGTTGTCAATGAGGGTTTCTATGAAATGCACTTTTGGCACTACTTTTTCGCCTTTGGTATTGACAACGCAGCCTCGACAAACGACTATGTTATAAGAGGTGTGACCGGAACGTGGTAGGTTGTTGACAGAAAAGAGTCAACAACTGATGTGGGCAGATAACGGACGCCGAAAAAGAATAGCCACTAGAACTTCTTCGCTTTTCGTATAAGTAATGGAGCGTTCTAATATGTTTGTGATGTAGGGTGTGATGAAATCGTAGGAGGCCACTTCAAAAAAGTTAAGAAATGATAAGAGTTGTAATATACATACCTTAAAAGGGTGAATCATTCTTTTCTCATACAGCAGCGTTTGAACACTTCAGTGATGATGTGAGTTGGCTTATTGTATATATTAGTTGACAAAAACAACATTTGAAGTATTAAATACCATTACCATTAAGGGCAACAAAAGCGCTCCGTTCCCTACAATTACACCACGACCTGGGGAACTATTTATCGCACTTCTGCTAATATAGCATGAGTAGCAACATTTGAAACCTGAATTGATCAAGCATGCTGAACAGCGATAACTGACCGAGCAGATCCAAGGGAAATAAGGAGCTCCCTTCTTATCCCACGACAGTTCTGCTGTAAAATACATTGAAACATTCATACTTGAATTAAAAAATGTATTCTCTGGCCTAGTTGGGATTCTGAATTCCTCACAGCTAAGGAAGGAAGTCTGCCGAGAGGGGGCGATGCAACGGGTGCGACGATAAGTTGAGCTTCAGTTCCGCAGGCCTGCCTACGTGATAGTGGTCCTAACCTTGGGGTGAACCCCCTAACAAGAGAACATATTCCTTGAGGAAAAACGTGCTCACGTTCAAACCAAGTGCTGTTTCCCCTATGCCTCGTTTAATGGGAATCCAAGTCAACAGTGTCACAGCGAAGCAAATGATAAACGAATTGATGGGCAATATGCAAAAATGAGTATTTTGAAATTGTTTCGAGAAAGAGCAGGCACTCTATTTCGTACTAACAGCTGTTTCGCCACCGTAGTGCTCTTTGACGATAGTCGTAAGCACAGAAATCCAGTAAACTGCTTATAGCATAACAGAAGAGCATCAAGAGGAATGTTGAATCAATGTCCGGAAAGATGTACCCACACCTGCTTACGGATCCAAGAGAACATACAAGAACATCCGGTCCAAGACCACACAGATGCAATGTAAAAGAAGTTCTAAGCGATAACTTGTTCTCCGACTGGGTGGCTTCCTGTTCGTGCCACCTAAATGACGGACGCAACGCAAATGCAACGCAGGCAACTGGTCAGATATAGGCAGTGGTCCATGTCCCTTCTAGCTGCGAACAATCATTTTGATCTTAAGCCCTTTTCGATGTCGAAAAATTCCATTAGGCCAACTCATCGGTGCTTTACCCTTCTCGGGAGCTTGAATTGCTCAAAGGCTCAGAAATCACCGTCACGGAAGGCGTGTTGAGCTTATTATAAACCCCTTGGCGCTTGAGTTCTTATTGCTACTGCTATTATTCTGCAGAAAATCTCGCACCAGTTCAATTATAACCAAGTGTACCTTCCCCAAAAGTTGAAAAGAAAAGTTTAGATACTGGGCTACTACAAATACCAGATGCGAGAGCGTGGGAAGAACAATAATTTCCTATTCAACTTCATTTTCATCATAAACACAACGTAATTCGAGTTATAACTCAACTGGATAGAGCAAAAATTTGCTTGCGTTGTGTGACTGACGGGTACGCAGTATGTGAAGGAACTACGCAAGCACAAGAATCATGTGCTGGAGTAAAAACGGTGGGGGAAAACAACAAGTTAAAAAGCCACGACGTTATTCGCTCAACTTTTTCTTTTTTCAGACTGAGGAGGCAGAGGAGTATACGAAGAAAGCAATAAGAAAACCTCACAAACATGGCAAGTTGTGGGCAAAACTTCGGCCTCGGACGGGATTCGATCCCGTTCGAAGCCAAAGTTAACAAGGAAACTAAACCAGAACAAGTTCTAACAAAAACCGCTTTCAGCTTAACGGTACGATGGCAATATTGGCTGACCGGCTCAACACGTTATACTTGTGAATGCTGACAAATCGTGGTATAAAAGCCATCAAGATGGCGAGGGCAAGCGGTGTCTTGGTAATGTGAGGGTTAAATAGCCCGATGCTCGGTAACCACAAGTACGAGTTTAAGTCCCCTCCGAGGCCGAAGTTTTGCCCACGAATCGCCATCCTTGTGAAACCTCCGCATCGCGTACTGCGGCGACATAACAGCAGTTAACACAACATCAAGTCAAAACAAGTTACAACTAGTAAACTTACAGCTTTACGGTTCAACGCTGATATCGGCTGACCGGCTCAATACGTTGTACGTGTGAGTGCTGATAAGCTAATGGCATAAAATCATTAGGAAGGCGAGGCCTCAGTAGTTTAAGGGCTAAAACGCACGGGACACGAAAAGCGCGAGCACGGTTCGAGTCCCGTCCGAAGCCGAAGTTTTGCCCGCAAACCGCCATCCTTGTGGAACCTTCGGTTCGCGTACTGCGGCAATATATCAGCAGTTATCAAGAACATCAAATCAAAACAAAAAGAAAAACTCTCAGAAGACTGCGTGAAACATGATGAAACCTAGTGAAATGCGGTTGTGAAAGTGTGTGTTGAAATATGTGCACTGAAAATTTCACCAATAAACATATAGAGTTCAGGCTGCACTACATCATTACAACGTAATCACCGCGGGACTTCAGCCCTGGCAAATATAAAATTGCCACCGCGACTGTTAAGTTCAAGGCGGTTACTATAGGACCGATTCTATAAGTTTATTGACAGATTATTGGCATCTTATTGATTGCTTAATGTATGGTCGTTTGTTGGTCAACGATCTGCTCAATAAAGTTCTGTGCGAGCATACAAACGAGAGGTCCTCCCATTAGCAAAATTTTATCGCTGGACTTGACCACTGGGGCTTACACTACGCAGTATCGATCACCGCACGCGTGACTCATGCGCAGCGGCAGCGTGAGAGGATGAGCAGACTATACTCGCCAGTAAGCAGGCGCATAATTCAGTGCAATTTAAGCATTGCAAACAATTATGGCTAACTTATGATTAAGGAGTTTCCATCAAGAACACGGCGCAGACGTACGTCATAACGTGTTCCGGTTCGGAAAAACAGGTGAACATTGTACAAACAAGACAAGGAGGCCGAAAATTCGACGAAAACTGATATGAGTCAGAGGTCAATGATAAGACATAAAATGATGGACTTTGGAGTTGTGTTGAACTTCGCCAAACGAATGAAAAAAGTCGATAGGGAACATCCGAGTGACGATTGTGTCACTACTACGTGTTATTGCACAACACTGACGCAAGCACTTTTATTGATCATTACCCGTTTTGTATTGATGTATACAGGCACAACAACTTGAGATAGGAATACAGAGGTTTGTTCATAAATGCGAAGTATAAAAAAATCTCACTGAATATTATTAAAACGTGGAATAAGTTAGGCTTACAGCTAATATACAAGTACAAAATACATACATAGTACGAGATCATAAAGATGAATACTGTGAAAATCAATGGTTTTGATTAGCATCATCCAAAAAGAAATCAAATACATTCGATCCCAACATTCGCCGATCGGTGGACAAAGGTGGGAGATGTAGAGGAGAACGAGACATGGATAGATCCAATGATGACCGAGAAATGGATAGATTTAATGATGACGAACTGGGTTGCTGGATGGTTTGATCCATCGGATTAGAAGTATGTAACATGGGAGAAGGGGGTAAGAGGCAAAGACTATTATGCATAAAATGATCCGGTACTGAAGAAAGGCTTGAAGAGCTGCTCTGGTAAAGCATGGAACCCTGTGTGGCAGAGAGGTTGAGCGGACGAGAAAGATATGCGTCCTGTGGAACGAGTAAATCCACAACATGGCTTCGTTCAGGAAATGCCAAGCAGGGAAGTTTTGTCTCCAACAGACAAACGTACAACTGCGTCGTACGAGTTATTAGACGTCGCATTTCCAGCACCTATAAAAAGGTTTATGTGCTCCTGGACTAAGTAACATCATGAACATTCTATGACTAGACCTGTTCCTGCTTCTACATTATACGATACTCACAGCCCTTTTTTTCTGACGGAAACCAAGCTTTCCTTGATCGCATAGAAATCCCATTCATTGTCCATAAGTCTTAAAACATTTTGGAAAGACACCTTCCCAGTAGAAAGGCCTGCCAAGTTGAACGGCGCTAGTCGCGTTTTCCTGCTTCCGTGAAATTTAACCTCTCGCCCAACGTCGTGTACAACTCAAGTAAAAGTCAACATCCCACACATGACGCACGGCAGCGCTCAGTCTTTGATCGCCGATGGTTCGAACACTTTAAACTCGATTTTGAGGGAAAATTGGGAACACTCGGATAGTTTTGTCGATAACGAATGGGCACAGCAAAAAAAATTTTTTTAGACATACTCTGTTCATCCAGAACAATAAGCCTGTTTATATTGCAGGGTGTGCCAATAGGTACGGTGACAAAATTATGTTAAACGGTAAAAAAACGGAAAACTGCAATCCAAATCGACACATGGCTATACATCACATTAACAAAATGAAGGTGCGGTTATTCTATATGATTCTCCTCGAAGTTCAAAGATTCTTCGAGCACACAGCGACGGCCCCACGCAACTTCTTGAAGAACTCCAGTTCTGAATTCCCAAACGACTCCTCGAGAGCAGAAACTGCGTCATTTCTGAGCACATAGTTCCCTATCCAGAATGGACCATAAGTGCTGATCTTTTGGGTTGCGGTCGGGGAGATACGAAACTAATCGGGAGCGTGGATAAAATAGGGAAATTATTTTTGCATCATCCCGGTGTCTTGTTCTATGTGAGGTACTTCGTGTTGGAAAGTTCGAACGAGGCTCCTAAAATAATCATTGGCTTGCAGCAGATCTTCTCAGATACATATCCTTTGTGAATATGTTTTAATTGACTGTTGACATCTTCCTTGACAAGATTAGCTGTGGTCGTCGGACGGCACAATTTCCAAACCAAACTACTACCAAGGAAAGAAAATGACCATAAAGTGTACTGCGACCCTCCTCAATGGTCCTGAAGGCAAATATATGTGTATCCGAGAGCGAAATTTTCTCCACGTTGAGCACGTTTTCGTTAGTCGAAAGCGTTTTCAAATGCGTGTTGCGAAGTAGTAGGGCACGACATTTGTTCTCCATCTCAGACCTCTACACATCTAAAGCAAAATGAAACTTCGGAATTTCATCTGGATATAGTTGCATTTACTCCAGAACTACGTCCCGTCGAAGAGAGAGACATCTCCAATCTAGCGGCTATTTTTCGCATGTTGCTGCAGGTTTCGCGACAAAATCATTGCCTTGTGAATCTATCCAGAAAAAAAGGTCGTGACCGAGTAGGACGACCGATTCGAGGCTAGTCGTAGACCAGTCAGTTCTTCGCAATAAATACACAGTCGTGCGCGAAAAGTCAAATCAACGAGTCATTTTGGAAATGGATTCACCAAATGAGTTGGTGGATTGATTCTGGACTCCACCATTTCTTTTATAGCAAGTGCCGATTCCGAAGAGAAAAAACCTCTAAAAAGGGGATCGCGATCCCGCGTCAAGTTGTCAATACCGATATGGCGCGTTTTTCACCGAGTATATATACACACTCACCACTGGGCGAATTAGTAGAAGAGAAAATTCTATTCAGTTAAAGACGGCATTAACGAACCGATGCCCAGAACCCAAGTTCGGAACATCTAAAGCAAAATTACACGGATAGCTGCAATGCCAATGTATCTTACTCTTCGAATGCGTTTCACAATTTTATGCCACTGTCGAGGGCGGGCATGAGTGATAGAGAGAATTAAGGGCCAAACATAGGGATAAAACGCCGGGTTTCTGCCTTTACACTATTTCTTTGAGAGCTTTAAGTACTCTCTGAAACAACTACTTGCTCACTCTTCGCCATCTATCAATTCAAATGCCAACTTTTTAATGGTGGTGCTTTAGGCAAACGCCATTCAACGCCAACGCCTATTCAGTACCGTTGGTGCAGATGATAAGCATTACCAAGTTCCCGAATTCACCTACCGTTCTACATCCGAGGATGCATACGCATTGAAAGTTACCGTTCTACATCCGAGGATGCATACGCATTGAAAGTTGAGAGTTGATAATCCGGTCAAATACTTTCCACCGTATAAAGTAGGGTGAGAATACAACCTGCCCTAAAGGTCTCTTGGAACCCCGCTTAGAGCTCTAATTAACAGTTAGAATTGGCTCTTAATCAAATTCACCGTAAATAACAGCACAGAACGATCGAGTAGAACCCAAGCACTAGGCTTTGAATTTCGATTCATGAAAATTGACGGGCACACTTCCGCTAGTCACTTGTAAAGCACGAGCAGTAAGGGACGCTCCCGGAAGTCTCTTCGCCAGAATTAGCGCGTTTGGTATTAATAGTCCCAATGATATAGTAAGGTTCTTGGCGAAAAGTTCGTCTTTCGCATCCGCTCGGAAGACCACTAAAATTTTCTTAATGACGTCACCGAGCGGATGAGAGAGAAGAATTTGAAGGTTAGAGATGACCCACCCTTCAAGCTTAAAAACTTGCCTGGAAGTTGTATTTGCTAGATGCGCTGGCCTCCTTCACTCTCCTTTTATGGTCTTTCATGAGAGGTATAAGCAGCACGGAATGAGTTTCTTGCCGACACCTAAAAATCGCACTCTACTTATCGTACTTTTTCAACAAATTCCATAGGTCCAACAAAAATAGAAAACGACTAGGAAGTAAATGGGAGTCGGTTGGGACTCGCCTCCCCCAGCCCTCTGGCCACTCTGGAAACTATCCGTTGTGTTCCACAGCACACAAACTCTCAACTCACATCCTGTAAGACTCTTCGTGACTAATCATTCGCCATTTCCAAACTCGGTTATCTGGCGGCAACCACAACTAAAATGGCCTTACCGTTGTGAATGAAAGGAAACAGCTAGACGCCACCTATAACAGTCCATCTGGGTCTATTTATACCTTTGCTCCTCGCAGGTGTATGCATGCTTCTGTTTAAGAAAATTTGTGAATGTTGTTGATATTCTGCGCATCGGCTCAGGCAAAAGCTTGCATTCAAGTGGCTGAGAAGTGACTGAGAGGCGATTTAGGGCCGCTTCCGGCTAACTACCCGGAGTGCACCACGTCAGGGCTGGGAAGCAACTGTCCCCCCAACCCTAGGTTTAACAATCTTCGTTGCCAGTACACCAACATCAAGCTTCAAAGGAGAAGAACTGGAAGCGTTAAAAGCTTTACAGAAAGGACCATACTTTTTCGTGGACATCGATGAAATCTACACAAGGAAAAGTTCCATAAAAATGGCTGGAGAACCTCACATAAGAACTCACGAAACGAATAAGGTATGAGCACAGTGGAAAAGTGTTGTGACTACTCCATCGACAGCGAAAAGGTCAACTTAATTGAATACCGTACTACTCAAGTGGAACCGCTTGGTTTATGTGAAATGAACAAATACAAGGGAGACTGATGAAGCTTATTACCTAAAGATTCATGAAAGGAACAATTGTAAATAAATTTTGTATAAATTGGATAAGCTTAAATTTCATCCTTTAGTTTGTCGTTGGTTGGAGAACTTTCTCTCTTCGAGGACATTTCAAATCCGAATAGGGTCTTCCTTTTCTAAGGTCGTGAATGTTAAAAGCGGAGTGCCCCAAGGTGGTGTATTATAACCTATTCTTTTTGCTATATATACTCAGGAGCTCCCAGGTTTACTAGAAGGATGTGGCGTTGCTTGCAAGCAATTTGCAGATGACATCAAGGTTTATAGAAAGTTGGAAGGCAGTGATGATACAGAAAGGATTCAAAAGGCTTTGGACTGTATTTTTGATTGGTCATGTAAATGGAATTTGCCTCTTGCACCGGAAAAAACTGTTTACATGAGAAATGGTTCTTCCACTGGTATTCCAAAAAACTATTGTCTTGATAATCATGTCCTTACTGAAGTCTCTTCAGTTAAAGATCTGGGCTTCCACTATGACAATAACCTTAGTTTCTCGGATCACTATACGGCTATATTCAAAAAGGCTATCTTCCGAACATACCAAGTCTTCAAAGGTTTGGCGATTAGTGATAAGGATATTTTACTGAGAGCTTACAAAACGTATATACGTCCCGTAGTTGAATGTGAAACGTCTGTTTTCTGCTCATATAAGATGAAGGATATTCAGTTGATTGAGAAAATCCAAGATAATTTTACTCGAAAGCTGGTTGTAAGATCTGGTGATGCTACTTATGGTAAAGTGCCTCGGCCAAATGCAAGGAATAAAAGTTTACAATTGCACTGTTTATGGTCTCGTAGGACAGTTTTTGATGTATGTATGGTATTCAAGTTGTTGACTGGTATTGCTAGAATCGACGCATCCAAATTCTATGTAAAGTTGGAATCTAGAACCAGAGGCGGACAAGTGAAAATTTCATATGCAACGCCGAAAACAAACATTGGACGTTACAGCTTTACTTGCCGAGCCGGCACTACTTTTATATCTCTAAGATCAGATGTGGCACTCACCAATAACACGTTTGCACTTTTCAAACTCCTAGTTAAGAAAAAGCTTTTGTCGTATAATTAGGTTACGCTGTGTTGTTAGCGATAGAAATTTTCCCACGTTTGCCTTAAGCAACGTACTCAATAAGTAAATAAATAAATTAGGGAACGGCGTCAAAATTCAGATACAAAATGACATATGTGTGAAACTGCAAAAAAGTGGATCGACGAAGTTCTGAGGTATACAGTCCGTAGAGTCATAAGTCAGTTTTCGTGATATGATTATATGAAGCAATATACTTCCACTCACTTGCTAATTATAGTAAAAAGTTTGTCGTAGTACAAGTCCAAAGTCTCTCCTTTTGTTTTCCACCATCTCAAAGGCAGACTGCATAGTATTTTATTGACGACGTTGAAGTTGAAGAAATCTGAAACCAAGCACTAAAATATTATGAAAAACAAGACAAACATAACATCAAAACAAATGCTACCTTTGTTAAATTCTACGGCTATAAACTGTAAATGTCTTGCCCGTTTACCGGCTTCCTTCTTGAACTGGTTCTGGAGGCCAACCCAATTAACTTCAGCCATAGCTAGTTGATCAATCTTTGGACTCATTGCGATGCAGAAACACTGGAATAGGTATGTCCAAGGAAGGAGGATATTTCAAATTGAATTTGGATGTGGAAAAAAATAAAGGTTCTAAGAAGAAAAACGTACATCACAGTTTCGCAGGACTTCAAGAGTGAGTTCTCCACAGTCACAAGCCATGTCAAGAACGATATCACCTGTAAAAGCTAACAGTAAAATTGAGACACACAACACTGGTAACAGCAACTGCGAGTTATTCTAACGCACCATCGTTTATGTCAGCGAGATCTACAACTGTTGCTGCGACTGCTCCATTCAACTGCCAAAACGTAAGATGTGGCCGAAAATCCTCTTCGCTGGAAAATCGGTTTGAAAATACATACAGAAAATGATTGGGAAATGGGCAGTTGAATCGGTTTTGTGGGATCGCTTCGCCGCACACATCAGTCGCAGACTATTATCTCATTATTGCAGTCCTAGCGTTCTTCGTACAGCTCGATCGATATGCAATTATTATTTTGGCATGACTCTACTGTTACTTCTTTTCTTCCTAAATTTCTCACTCGATACGCTGCTTCTGCTTATTCTCCTTCATTCCTTTGTGCGCGACGCAGCTCTCAAAACTGAGCGACCATTTCTATTCAACTGCCTACACTCAGAATGATCTGTTCTAAACCATTAAAGAACTTACTCGAATAGCAAAACTCCCGCATATATGTCATATCGGTCTGCGAAAATCACGACGCTAATTTCGTCTTCAGATTTGTACATTTTGTCATGAAAACGAAGGGCCCATGAGCGATTCGACTTTTTCATAGCATATTTGATATGCCTTTGTAGTTCTTGCAGAACAATCTAAAACATAAAATCAGTATTCAAAAGTTGTTTAAAAGTGATTAAGATGCCCTTAGTGTCAAAAGCAGAAACAACGATCACACCTGAAGGCCCTTTTTCCATGCAGAGCTTCGTTCTGATGTGAGCAGCACGAAATTGACGGTAATCTGTTCATCAGCCATTTCGACGAAATGCTCATTCAGTCTGCCCATGAGCTCCAAACAACGTGAGATCTCAGGGACATAGTTGATGCTGTAGAACAGGAGAGACAAGTAACCTCTCATTTCTGAAATACAACCACTTAAGAGATAGGGAGGTTTGACTTACAAAAACCTTGCTCGTAAGAATACTGAGGATCACAAAAAAAACTTTGTTTTGTTTCAGGGGTGAGTAGGAGATCCACCAGAAATCCCATAATCTAATGTACACGAAAATGGAATAGTGTAGTCAGAGGTACTTGACGAACAAAATTTGAAAGAGTCTGTCGAAAACCAATTAAACAACACTGTGTAGCTAGCGTTCAAGTTAGGTACGTGACGAGAGCAACTTGGTTACGATAGCGCTTCGATAATGCAACGATTATGAATGGCTCTTAAGGCGATACCAACGACTGTGAAAATCTCGTCACTAGGTTCATTGTGTTCACGCTTAGTATGCCGATTCATCACATCATTACAATCGAACATCTCACTTGAATGCTGAACCCCGCAGGGCGAGCATACTGCACCAAAGTTGGGGCCTGACAATGAGTACGCTGCCAACAATAAGAGTGCGCAATTTGCTTTAACACCGTCTTCATCGAAAATTCTCCCGTAAGTGGGCCCATGAGCCACGACTTTATTATTGGCTAAGCAAAGCCGCAAAAGGCAAATGGGTAGTAATTAGCGCTTGTAAACATAATAATGTAATAAAATTGTAAGAATAAGAAAATTGCTCAACAATGAGTTAAACATCTTTACTCACCCACAGGGCAATTTGGATGGTCATCGCTTGGATTCATCCTGTTATGATATATCTCCAAAAACACCTCATCAGCGTATCTCAAATGACGTAACTCAAGAAGTACATCAACTTCTTCTTCCACATCCATCCAAAAGATTGTTTTTGATGGAGAACACTCATCGTCCACTATTCTAGCCTCAAAACTGAAAACTATCAAAAGCAACTCTGAACGTCACAAAACTTACCTTCAATTCAACAAGTTCTCCAATCAGTGACTCGCTCACATTGATAGCATGACTGGCTAGTAACTTAACTACTGTCATAATGACGGCATTGATTAGTATTACATTAGTAAAGTGACTACAGGAACAGTCCTATCATTCTCGGGCTACTGTCCCTGAAAGTCAAAGTTCTGCAATTTGAAATCGCAATGATAGCCGTAGAATAGGTCGTGCTGGGTGTGATTGTCCGTGGAGATATTGCTTACGTACCTATTGATTTCCTTGGTGATTTCAGATTCTTCACCTTTTATTTGACAATTCAATACTCAACTTGGTTTTTGTGTAAGATATAACAAATATTCCACCCGGCATGGTGGCAGCATTTCAGACGTTTTTTTTCCAGCTAATCGCCATATGGTAAAGCAACGGAAGTCGAAGGGTTCGGATACCCTGCAAAGTCCAGCTGAAGTCGCCAATCCAGATCTTACAATTAGTCCGACGAAGAAGGCCAAAACGAATGGATTACTGGTTGAGGTAGGAGAGGTATTGTTTTCTGAGATAGAGTCATGCTACCGGAAGGAGATTCTAACTGCTCTAATTCTAATTCTAACGATTCTAACGAACGGCTTCCCCAAAATGCGAGTACATAAAGGTGATAGAAGAGTTATATGATGGCATAACTTCCTGGTGATTTTGTGGTCTATATAATTGTATTTTTGCGTTGAATGTGTCCTACGGATGGGGTGAAGTCGGCCAACTGAAGTACATTTTGATCGTTTTCAAATCAGGCGTACTAGTACTACTGACACATTTACTACGGCAGGGCCTTTCCAGTTTCTGAGAGAGTGCTTCAAAGGTTGTTGTGGTTCAGTATCACCGAAATGCGCTCGTTACCCCGTGTCTTCCTACTCAACACGTGATTTTGACTTTCATGAGTTGTTGGCTGCAGCTGTAACATTTTGAGCAGCCAACCAGCGAGTATCTGGGAGGACGCGAAGAAACGTTCTATGCTTCGCTCCAGTGCCAGATTCGTTAACCCACTAAACCCTTAATGCCAACGGCCAGTTGTAGGCCTCACTTAAGTGGTTTGTATTCTAGGAAATAAGCTATATGCTCTGCATCGTAAAATTTATTCTGAGCTGGGTATGGGTAGCAGTATCAATTCTGGCCTGTTCTGTCCCTTATCTATTAACGGTTCAATTAATAGAGTTGGCTGTATTAGTTCATGTTGGTTAGCAGTAGAGTTCTAGATTTGAATAAAAATGGAAATCAGGTGGTTGTAATGGAAATAAAGCTGATCGTTGAAATGCTTCCAGGGATTACGAGTTATTCAAAACGAGTCCAATTATTTTTAGCGAACTAAAAGACTGTACATCTAAAAGAAAGTAGGAAGTCATGTGGTAGCGACATGGTTATGCGCTCTTAATTTCTACATCCTTTTTTCTGTCCCACCATTTTTGATCTGGAGATAAGCGGAGATGTAGCTTTTATTCGTTCGGAATTACAATCCATGTACTGCTGAAAAGCTCAAATATTTTACCGATATGGTGAGGAATCACACACTGGTAAGGTTTAAAAAACACATTTTATTTTTCAGGCAGATGAAGAAGAAACAAATCCTAAAGAAAACGGTGATTCACCCAAAAGAAAAAAGACAAAGGATCCTACATTAGGACAGCTTGTAGAGCTGCAGCGGTTAGTTCGAACAGCTTTTTTTCTTTTTTTTCCAGTGCTTCTCTCTCGAGTATTTTGAAGAACGATATGTCAAAGTCTGATATCAGGATTGAGAGCGAAACAAAGGCGCAGCCATCATCTGGTGTTTCACTCGCAGTTCAGCTCACGCAAGGTCTTATGTCAAATGATGCCCAGAAGTTGGATAGCGTTCTTCATGAGTCCAGATTAGAGATTATACAGGTTAATTTTCTGATACTGTTAAGTGCCTTTTGCATTTAGTATCGATTTCTTCCGTCCCATTCAAGGTATTCAGCAGGGCTTATCAAGTCCTTGCTGATGTTCCTTGTGCTATCCCTTAAAAATCAATACATTATTATAGCAAATATTGTGCTGCGTTCAGGCCACTCTGCTAGATGTACAAGTATCCCACGTAGTTCCTCTGCTGAAGGCGTTGTTCGAAAGACTAAGCTGTCGATCCGCAACCAAGTGAGTGCTTGTTGACTTTCATGCTTTCTTACGATAACAAGTCAAGGTTTCCATCGTAGTAGCTGTTATTTCAGTATCAAACCCTGGATTTTATGGATGCAGTGCACATTGTCTCTCCACGCGTCCTATCTGAGCTCGGTAAGGCGAAGCTTTGTTGTATATGATTGTTCGTCATTACGTATTTGTGTGTACTGTATGAAAAAACACGAAGTGTTACTACTCATTAAAGGGCGAGGGGGGTCCGGTTGCAATGACGAAATTTAAGCACTCAGGTGTGATCTAGTTATACTACTTTCTTGGATCAAAGTATTCAGTCGTAAGCTTTCATATCATAGAACGCTAATAGAATACACCAATCAGTGCAAGAAGCATCCCATCTTTGCAATAAATGAGCGGCGTACTCCGTTTGCGTTCAATGTTGGGAAGATACCATCCCCGAACCTCTGTCTTGGGGTTGGTGTTCAACCGAGTAATTGTATTTTGTTAGAAGCACAATCCGTTATTTCTCTTCATTGTTCTACGACTTCGGTGGATGCGGAACTTTTACAGTATTTTATGTTGTTTCCAGATTCGAAACCTTGAAAGTGAATTGAGTGGATTGCTTGAGTGGATGCGGCAACGTATTGGACATCAACAAAAGCTGCTCGAACTTCACGGTCGACTGAGCATTGTTGGAGAACAGGTAATAGAATAATTTTTCCAAGTTCACATGATAATCAATAATTGCTACATTAGATAGTTAATGGCAACAGTTGCTCATGCGTTTTTGGTCTATTGCAATGTTCTTTTGCTGTTCTGAGTAGCCGTAAAGCAAGGCAGGTTGTCCGTGTTTTGACGCATCATGCACATATCGGTAACTCGAAAAATGGCTCAATTCACCATCAGCAAATTTTGAGGAAGGGCGTGTTAAAATTTGGATATAACGCGGATCCACTCAGAGGCTGTATCTTGGTTATTCAATCCACTACAGGACTTTACGCGTACCCTCCCTCACATTAAAAAGTATTTCAGCCCATTTCTCATTCTTGTCATAAAACCTGATGAAATCAAATAAATGGCAGGTCAAATTAGAGAAGATAATCCAAGGTGCTTTTCGTATTTTTTTTTAGATTTTTTTAGTATTGATCCATCTCTACCAATGGCTAACGCTCTCACTAATTTACAGCAGCTTCATAACTTTTCGAAATGTTCTTGTCTATGTCACGTGACCAGAAAAAGTTTCGCTATACCCTGGAAATTTCAGTAAAATGCAAAAGGGAGTTGGACAGCAATAAAGCAATTTGCCATAAATGTAGGGTTACGTCATTCTGAGAATTTTGAGTTTCATTTGAATAAAACGAATAGCAGAAGATGAAAATGATGCGGATAGTCCAAGAATCGTTGCCGATCGGCTGCTTTCAAATCCAAAAAATTCGGTATCATTTTTAACCACGCCTTCAGTTGATTGGAACATTTCCAAATCATTAAATCGACGTCATGTATCGACAACGCAACTCTTTGCCATTTTTGTTCTTTTCGTAGCTTGTGCAACGCATTCTCTTTCTCTGACTGTTCAAACCGTTCATATTTCTGATATCTTCGACGACAAAGGTAAATTTGATTATGTTGTAGGTAGCTATACTTGTTGGCCTCAGACGATTCAGTTTATTAGACTTTAGATCCTCTTTTTTCGCCACACCTTGGATCTGTTTGAATGTCTAACCTGCTTTATAAATTACAGCGTGAAGATATAATGCGGGGCAACCAAATCAATCCTTTAGTGAGTTGAATTTCGGAGCTAGGTTTCCGCTGCTGGGTTTCTAGTTCGTGGAAAGGCACAGTTACTTTTCAAGGACTACAAATAGGCCTTTCAAATAAGATGTGCATCGTATTTTTTCTTTTACAGTGACCATCTACCTGTTTTGGTGCAAGATATTAGTATGAAAAATCAAGTGCAACATGATTGCAGGCTAAGGTCAGCATATTAGTAATTGCATACCAAGGGGCATATTATACGCTCTGTGGGAAGAAAATATGGGAGGTCGGGTGAAAAGTGGAATGTGAAAAGGTATGTCGCAGGCTGCTTTTCACCACTGTTCAGAGTGCAACTACTCCTGTCAGCATCACGCTTTCTTCCCAAGTAATAAGCTACCGTGTCTAGATAGGCGCTATGATAGCACCAGAACTCCCTTTTTGCACGTGCTGTGACGGGCATCTTTTTTCCTAATCAGTTATTTTTTCTATGATCAAATAAGTGTTTATACGAAATATCACTAAAACACTGAACTTGGAGTGCAGTAGCCCATCTGATCAAAGATATCTCATTGGCCAATCTTGCCGTTGTCGAAAATAGTAGTCATTTAATGAAAATTCCGCCCATCAATTCAAAAAAATCCCCATTTAGAACGCGCAGCCTCCTCATTTACTTTGCTCTCGATTTACCTAATTTATTTTGCAAATAATACATGGGTCTTGTGAAATGAAACCATTTACAACAAGGGATGGCCACTACTATCAGTTGCGCTGCGCAATATTAAGCAGATAGCATCCTCCATTTGCAAAATATTGTTCTTGTCCTAGTTGATGATGGAGCAGATTGGGTTTGCACCTTGTTTTTCGACACCTCTATCTTTTAAGAGGAACAATTAGTGATTTCATCTATTCGACCTGGGTTCACGCTAGCATATGAGGTCTGTCCCGTCATCTCCAGTGCAAACAACTTATTCGCACTCTCTGAGCGGGCCACTGTGCATTACTTCACAATGACTCAGCCAAAACTACGACTTTTCCTTTTTCTTCTAACAAGGGAATGATCCCAAGTCGAAGTGGCCATTTGAAATGGGACCTATACTGCTAGGCGTATTTTTTGATGCACATTTCAAATCTGCATTCAAAATCTGCCAAACGATTCTCTGAACGAAGTTATGGAGGGTGG